TTTGGGAATGCATGTGTGCTCTGAGCAACTGCCATGCGTCGAGCGGAGACTTGCTGTCCAGGAGGGCTTGTCAGGGACCCCAAGCACCAGGAGAGAGAGCAGTCACATCATGGGCTTTTCTCTCAAGGGCAATGCAGCCTGGAGCTACCCACACTCCCACAGGTAGGAAGAGGTACATTAAGAAGGGAAGGAGCTGCTCCATGTGCCGTGTACCAAGGGACACAGAGGTGCCAGGCCCAGGTCAAAACACACAGGGAACTCCTGGGACTTCACTCCTGGGAACAGACTCACCAAAGAGGGCTGTGTATTTTCTGTGAGGCTGAAAGAAAGCGGGTGTCTCGGCCAGGGAGGTAGCTCAGTTGGTAAAGTACTTACCTAGCACCCACAAATCTCTGAGTTCAATCACCAGTACCACATAGTCCGAGCATGGTAACACATATTTGTAATCTCAGCCTTTGGGAGGTGGAAGCAGGAGGATCAGAAGTTCAGATCATCTTTGGCTACACAACAGGTCAAAGCTAGCCTGGGCTATATCAGACTAGACCTCCAGAAAACAAAAAAGAAAGTGGGTGCCCAGCCGCAGCCAGCCCTAACCCCATCAGGCTGGGACCTAGCAGCACCCCAGAAGCCCAAGCCTAACCAACACCTCTTTCTCATACCACCTCTATTGTCTGTTGCCCGTCCATCAGGCACCAATACAGGACATCCACAGAGCAAAGGCCCCCAGCAAGGAGAGCATAGCAGTGTGCGCTCAGCCCATTCCAGAACACAGTTCTACCCCACATCAGGCAGCAGCTTCCCTGCCAAGACTGGAAGTCAGGGCCCATGTCCAGTGGGGAGGGTCGATCACACCAAATCCCAGCCCAGGAATCAAAGGCTGCCACTGATCACACAGGCTGGAGAAGTCTGGGTGCGCTGCTAGGTGGAAGCTAAGGAACAGTCCCCAAAGGAGCCACGGAGGACTCCCAGAGTCCCACACAGACAGCCCTCTCGCCATGGACCCCTGGCTGTAGCACAAAGCTTGCTGGCTCCACCATCACCTTCATCAGGCCTGACCTCAGCAGCTCAGGGTCGGGTCTATGCTAGAGAGACTTGGCTAGAGTTGAGGAACTGAGGCCAGGAGTTAGACAAGATCTCGGACACCCTGTAGAGGTTGTGGGGGCACAGCACAGCTTGGCTCCAGGCAAGGGTCCCAGCAGGCAGGATCCAAGGACAGGAGTTGTGAAGAAGGTGACCCAGAAGTGCTAGACCTACCATACATTCCAGAGGCAATTAGAAGGCCAGAGTACACAAGAGTGTGGCAGGGACCAGTGTCATCAGTGATGCTTGGGGGCAGAGAGAGAGGAGGTGACAGCCCCTAGTGGGACAGGTGATGAAGCCCAGACCCCACTGAGCAGCAGGTCCGGGCTTGACTACCACCTACTGTATACTGGGCATGGGGGACACGGCTCCCACTCCAAGACTTGAAGCCCCTCAGCCACTTGTGTCCCTGCCCTCTCCCCAGGCAGTTGGTACCTATGAACCAGTCCTGAAGCTCACTGACCAGCAAAGGGCAGGCAGGCCGGCCTCAACCCTCATGAAACATCAAGTGAGACAGCCCACATTTTACAGCCAGTCTCTAGGAAGTTCTGAGCTGTACCCTCCACTGTGCATACTGGCTGGTCATGACTGGCTGGCTCCCTTGGCCACATCTGAGCCCCCTCCTGGCATATGGCTCAGACACAAAAGAAAATTTCTGTGCCTACCAAGTTCTCTCCAAAGACTTTTCATCTGATGGTGGACAGCTGCCAAGCCAGAGGGGGGAAGAGATCAGCTCTTCCCCAGAGAATGTCATATCTGAGTCAGGTAGGCTCAGCAGGCAGAGACCAGTGGTCAGGGTGGGCTGACCAATATGTTTGCTCTGGCACCTCCATGAACGAGATACAGCAAAAAAAAAAAACAGCGTTTGGGCTTCTTGCCTGTGGTGGTAACAAGGCCCCAAGCACATTACAGAGCCTTCTGGAAGCACCTGCTGGGGACAAATAGCAGTGCCTTCATCCTAGCCTGTTTTGGGCTGTCGAGGATCCCAGGTGACTTCTTTCTGGACTCTGGGTTCTGGGGCCAGAGCTGGCTTGGGCACTTCATGGCCAGGCCTGGCCCCTGGGCAACTGCTCTCCAGGGCTTGGCCACACTGATGGATGTGGAGAGCATGGGTCTGAGCTGGACGTGAGTGTGGACAATCAGGCACTTGTCCAGCAGTATGTTCCGCTTTCCCTGGCCAGCCAGCGGGACCTGGGGCTTATCGCTGAGGTTGCCGCGCGAACAATGGTGCACACACACTTATCTCCACCGTCGAGCTGTTTCAGCCGTCAGAGCTGTTTGCCCAGTGCCTTCACACTCCCAAGTCAAGGGACAAAAACACCATTCAGCAGTGATTCCCCACCAATCATGCTGTGGAAAGTGGGCCCTGACGCTTGCCTGTGGCCCCTCCTCACCAGGATGAAGCCATCGACTCGGGCCAGGACAATGCCACTGCCTAAAGCCACCTGCTTGCCACTGGTGCACACAGCCCAAAACAGCCCAGGGCATAGCTCTGAGTCACACACACGTGCACATACACGTGCACACATATAGACAGATGGTTAGACACCCAAGCTCATCCACCCAGCTAAGCAGCCATAGGGCTCCTGACCACCCAGGGTCATAGCCCCTTCTACACTGGCTGCCTGCTGGGGGCGGGGGTGTCTGGCTGCCTGCGGGGAGGGAGAGTTACTCCTCACCTGCCCCAGCCCAGGTGCGAGGTCACAGCCGGAGCTAGGATAGGTCCTAGTCGTGTCTATTCTGCGGCAAGGTATGTCTGGGCAAAGACTTTACTCCTCAGTTTCCCACCTGAGTGGCTGCTTCTGAGTGTTAAGAAATCACTAAGCACACACAGCATGGGGTGACCATCCCACCCACCTAGGCTGGACACTCACAGCGAGTTTCTATAAAGATCACATTCTTGCTGGGTGTGGTGGGGCACATCTTTGATCCCAGCACTTGGGAGGCAGAGGCAGGCAGATCTCTGTGAGTTCGAGGCCAGCCTGGTCTACATAGTGAGTTCCAGGTCAGCTGGGACTGCAGAAGATCTGGGTTTGAATCCCAGCACCCACATGGTGGCTCACAGCCATCTGTAACTCCAGTCCCAGGGGATCTGACACCCTTTTTGATCTCCACAGGCATTGCACAACACGGGTGCACTTACATACATGCAGGCAATACACATTTTAAAAAATCTTTTTTTTGGTCTTTTTGAGACAAGGTCTCCCTGTAGCCCCAGCTCGAGGCATTGCACAACACGGGTGCACTTACATACATGCAGGCAATACACATTTAAAAAAATCTTTTTTTTGGTCTGAGACAAGGTCTCCCTGTAGACCCAGCTGGCCTGGAACTCATGATGCAGACCAGGCTGGCCTCGAACTCACAGAGAAGAGATCCACCTGACTCTGTCTCCCAAGTGCTGGGATTAAAGGCATGTGCCACCACACCCAGCTTCATAAAATAAATTTTAAAAACGAATTCACTGCTTTGTCACAGGGTCTGATGGGTCCACTCCAAAGCAGATGAAGGCAGTGTCTAGGAGCATCCAGTGTGTTAGACAGGCCAAAGGGGCTACTTGGGTCCAGGCTAAGGGACTTGGCTGGGCTACAGGATGGAGGCACAGGCCCCTTTGGGGACCCAGACTCAGACAGGGTTGGAGCCAACAATAACCCTGCAGTAGAGAACTGCTACAAGGTTGGCCCTGGGCTCCTTCGGGGACTCAAGGGACACTACTTGGCACTCACTGATCCAAGAGTAACCAAAACCACCACCAGGAGAGGGAAGTCCCTGCGCCTAGGCTCCAGGCTCCCAACAGAGCTGGACAGATCCAGTGATTTGGAGTTCTACCTCCCTCCCCTGACTGAGAGATGGTCTCAGGGAAGACCCTGTCCTGTTTTCACCCCGACCTTCACCCTGACCCTGGTTCTCAGCTTGACTTTTGCCCTTGCCCTGGGTACTAGTGGCAACCCCTTAAGGTGCAGACATGTACCCCACTCTTGGCCCCTGCCCCTTGTGTTTCCAGGAGTCCATCCTCCTCAGTGGGTTGGGGCAACTGCCTGAGAGGACAAGAGCACCCTGGTGCCCATAGTTGTCCACAACTCAACCACAGAGAAGCTACAAAGGTGAGCAGCCTCACCCACAGAGCTTGGGGAGTAGCAAACAGTACAGAGGAACCCCGAGCACAGTGCATCCCTCCTGCACCGCCCCTCCACCTCCCACCTTCTTCTAGAAGGCCAGGTGAAGAGGGACCTCCAGAAGCCAACTTTCCAGCCTAGGCCCCAGGGACGCCGGCAAGTCCCTATACAGATCCTCAGGCCTCCTAGATCTGAGGTCTAGGCCTGCTGCCATCAGCAACTGAGACCTCCCCAAGCGATCTTCCTCCTGGGCAGAAAATTCATGATGAATGGGGTAGATCCAGCAAGCAAGTGCCTCTGAGGGATGCCAGGACCCAGAGTGGGGGCTGGGCTACCTAGCAGGAGCAGAGGGAGGCCCAGCTCTCTGCCACCCCCTCAAACCAACCCCATCCCAGGCACCCAGCTGTTTGCCCACAGTGGGAAGGACTGTGACAGGACCTGCCCTGGCCCCCAGGACAGTCAGATACAGAAGGTGTGTAAGGGCCCTGGAGGGCATGTGTCAGCCCCCTGCTGGGAATAGGAAGATAATGGGGCCACTGCCACTGCAGAATTTTCCAAAGTCTGAATCCTGATAAAGCGGAGCCCCAGATCCTGTTTGGCCACCACTGTGCCTGGCAGGAGGTGGTGATCACAGACCTAGAGCATGGGGCGCAGGTGGGTGCGGCAGGGGAAGGGCCCGCCACCCCTATATAAGCGTCCCAGAGCCGGCCACTGAGCTGCGACAGTGGCAGCAGCAAGACTGCCCAGGCGCCCGGCAGCAGGAGGCCAGGGCTGGAGGCCACCCTCTGCTCCGGAAGTGTCACCATGCTTGGAGTTCGGTTGCTGCCGTTGCTGTTCTTCAGAGGAGGGCTCATCAGTGCTGGTGAGTGGGTGTCTACCAGGCTGTGCCCGGGGAACCAGGCACCCAGTGCCCTGTGCAAGCCCCTGTATGTGGGAAAGTTCCCGGGACTTCTCGACTCACTGACTCTACTCAAGGCAGGTTGGCTACATGGACACCGATGAAAGGGAGGCAAGAGGGGCCCTACATACCGCTCAGACTCATCCACCTCCCGTGAGCTGGTCACTGTGGCCAGAAATGAAGTGCACTCATTTGGAGTGGGGCAGGGCTCTCCCTCTGACACAGTCTCAAAATTATAGAAACAGCAGAGCACAATGGCTTATGACAGGACAGAGCGGGCACTAGTCCTCTCTCTACCCCTGATCCTAAGAGGTCTCTGGGGGCCTGAGGGATGGCAGAGGTATGTAGGGGCAGAGTCACGTGCCCAGCAAGGGGCCTTCTTAGTGCTGGAGCTAAAGTCCCCAGGCAGAGCCCAGCTCTTCTACTAACCTCAGTGACAGAACCGCATGGCAGGCTCCAGGACTCTGCTTCCCCTTTGGTAAATGCAGGGAGACATCTTACACCTCTACCACAGCCTGTGGCTCTGTGTGCCCCATACCAGCCATCATGGGTCCCCCTGCCTCTGGGGGCAGGGAGTATGCCATACAGAGCCTACCCTCTGGGTGCATCCAGCCTGGGGGCCAAGGTGTTGGGGAGGTCTCAGATTTGAAGCACAGTGTGCCGCTCCTCCTGTCAGGCTGCCCCGTTCCTTTCTCCAGCAAACCCCTCCATACAATATAGGCTCTGCTGTCTACAGAGGCGATACCTCTGAGCACCATACAGCAAAGTCTATGGGATCCTACCAGGTGACCTTGGACCCTGTCCTACCCCTCACCCAGCACATCTGGCAGGAATCGGGGAGGAGGTTGACTGCATCCAGGTTCCTCAGGTCCACAGTTAAGGATGGGGGAATGAGGCACAAGGAACATCTGGGGGCGGAGAGTAGAGGAGGCCGAGGCTGAGGCTCTGGAGAGCTGTCAGATTGGGCTGCTGAAGGCTGGAGGGACAGCACTGCACTAACTGTGGCAAGTATTTGAGTGTCAACTCTGCAGCCTGGAGGGAGGGTAGATGTGGAAGAGTCAGACAGCTCAGGTGGGGCCTGGGGCTGGGGAAGCTAGGTAGGAGTTTCTGGGCTAGCAGGGCTCACCCAGCATAGGCAGGGCCAGTGGGAAGGGCCTTCAGGCACACAGAGGGACACCCTATGAGTGAGTGTCCCCACGGGCCACAGCTTGGGGGGTCAGTTAACTCGAGGGAAGACGGTCTCAGTAGGAGGAGCAGTGGTGCTGGTGGCCTCCCTCCAGCTGGGGCCCAGCTCCAGGAAGACCAGAGCAGCCAGACTCAGGGCCGGGAAGAGGAGAGACTTCTCAAGACGGGGAGCCACCTGCAGGGACTACTGGGAGCACAACAGAAACACAGAGACAGTGGAGCTAGGCCCAGATCTGGGACCAAGAGGGGCCGGAGCCTGAGCCTGTTCTAGTCACACCACACAAAGTTGGGTAGACCCACTATCTGAAAGATAAACTGAGTCACAGAGGGTGCTGCTCAAGGAGCCTGGCTTAATCACCACATTCTCGAGTCACTGGATGGGGGTGGCTACCACTGACTGGACATTAGGCTTCCACCCAGGAAGAAAAGGCCAGAACTGGGCATCTCCCATCACCCCACTGATGGCAAGATTGATTTGGCCGATTGACTGGCTACACAGGTGACCCCTTCCTCCCTCACTGCTCCATTTAAGACTCTCCTGAAGCTTAGTTGAAAAGGAAGCCCTTCCCCAGTACAGGAGAATCATGCTTTGGTCAGAGGTATATGTGTGAATACCTGGGCTCCCCTGCTAGAAACTCAGAAGAGCCTGGAGTGGGGCCCAGGTGGAGGACCACATCTCAAGAGAAGCATTCTGTGGTCCAGCCGGTCGGTGGGGCGGGAGGCATGGCAGGTCAGGCACTGGCAGAGATGTCAGGACACCTCGGCCCATGGGAGCCTCAGAAAGCACTGGAGCCACAAGGCAGAGGAAGGAGGAAGTACAGCACCTGCGGGGAAGGAGAGGAGAGAGGGAGCCCCACGGGCCCAGAGGAGGCCTCTGCCACGCAGCCGATCTCCGGTTGCCCAGCCCTACCTCGAGGTCACCATGACCGATACGATCTGACAGTGGTTACCACAGACAAATGTTACTACAGGATCCATCATGGCTGTCTCAGAGGCTGCCAAAGAGGAAAGAGGGGAGAAGGCTGAGGGGCAGAACCCAGGATGGGAGTAGCCTCTGGGTAATTCACAGAACAGACCCCACAGGGAGAATGTGCAGCCAGTCAGGGAACAGCTGGGATGAGGCCAGGCAGAGGAGACAGTAAAGATCTGTTAGCTCAGCCCTCAGCCCTCTCTCCCAGGCTGCTCCATCTCCACATCCCAGGCCCATCCTCTTGTGACCTCACCATGTGTGACCTGCCCAGAGCAGGCTCCCTCAGCTGCCTGATCACCTTGAAGCCTGTGTCCTGCACTTGGCTTCTTTGCTGAGCGCAGGGCCTGGTTCAAGTGAGCAGTGAGTGGTCAGCTTGGCAGACTGATGATCAGGGGCCTTGCGGTGCCCTTGCTTCCCAGGGATGTCCTGCCAGCTCCACTCTATACTCCCTGCCAGCCAAGCCATCCGATGGCCTCCACAGGACAGTGCATCCCTCCAGCAAACCCCAGACTAAAGAGCCCCCAGGCCTTGTTCGAGTGCCACCTCCTCAGAGGCCACTCTCCCCACTGGCTGCACCTTTGCATGCATCACTGCAGCAGGTTTCTGCAGCATGGGTGCATGGATGAGCAAGTGTCACCTTCCTGGGATGCTGTGGGAACAGGCCCTGTGCTACAGACCTGCAGCACCCAGCATGGTGACAGGAAGAGAGCAGGAGCTCTGATCAGACTGGCGAAAGATGGAATAAATAAACAAATAACGAATGAATGAAGAGGACGTGATGAGAGCAAAAGGAGAGGTATTCCAGCCAAGGAAGGATGATGTGAGATGCCAGGGCTTGGACTGAATTCCACCTTTCCCCTTCCCTCGGAGCCTGCTGCCTCCTCAGTCAAGCACACCGTAGACAACTTTGTGCTGGTCCACCCCTGAGCACCTGGGCAGTGACTCTGAGGAATGGGCAGAGGGGGACAGAGACATCGGGAATAACGGGGACATCTGGCACTAAACACAGGCCCTGTCCGTGTAGGTCTGGACACCACCTTTGTCAACCCCAATCCCTGGAAGCTGAAGGGCTCTCAACAGACAGGTGAGGTCACCACGTCCATGTTGGGCAGCAGAGTACCAGGGGCATGGGCCGAAGAGGGGTGGAGAGCTCAGCACCCCCTCCCTCCTCCCTATTACTTTTTAAATCCTATTAAAGTCTCTGGTTTTGTTGTTGGCTTGTCATCTGTGATTCATACTCTCTCTCTCTCTCTCTCTCTCTCTCTCTCTCTCTCTCTCTCTCGTAGCCATGCATGCATGCTTGCTTGAGCACACCCACGTATGGCACCGTGGGCCTCAGAGGTGCTATTTTGGGGTTCCCACAAGAGTGATCCAGCAATGAAAGTCACAGCCCAGCTCCAGCCAAGAGCTCTCATCCAGGGACACCAGCTGAGGGCTGGTATTCAGTAGCAGGGACATCTATGCCCAGCCCCACCCTGCCTAGACTGGCTACAAGAGCTGTGCCCAGGGAGGCTGAGCTGTAGCTTCCTGCCTTACAGGTACGTGGACTGGAGATACCACAGATTCAGACAACGAGAGCAGCCTACAATCATGTAAGTTCTAGACTGAGGGCAGACCCCAGGCTCAGACCCTAGGTGAACTCCCTACGGTTGCAGCTCAGGGGCGAGGCTGTTACAGACCTGCTGCCCCATTAGAGAGGGTGGGGCTGTGAGCGCGTGTTGCTTTCTCCACAGTCTCAGACAAGGGCTGGTGCTCCACATGGGGAGCCGGCCACTTCTCCACTTTTGACCACCATGAGTATGACTTCACTGGGATGTGCAACTACATCTTCACGGCCACATGCAAAGATGCCTCGCCCACCTTCAGTATCCAGATGCGGCGAGGTCCAGATGGGAACATCTCCAGGATCATCATAGAACTGGGGGCTTCTGTAGTTACCGTGAACAAGGCAGTCATCTCTGTCAGGGACATCGGGTAAGCTGTGGAGCAGGGCAACCAGGGGGTGGGGCAGAAGAAGCAGCTGCTGACCTCTCTTCCCCACAGGGTTGTTAGCCTGCCCTACACCAGCAACGGCCTCCAGATCACACCATACGGCCAGAGCATGAGGCTGGTGGCCAAGCAGCTGGAGCTGGAATTGGTCGTCATGTGGGGTCCAGACGACTATCTCATGGTGAGGGCCATGTGGCTGGAGCACTTGACCTGGCCAGCTGTGCTCAAGAAAGGCCCTCTTCAGGGAAGGTTACTCAAGAGCCCTGACTGGCAGGGCAGCACTGGCTGCTGATCAGCCACAACCCAGGAAGACCTGGGCTTGCTTGGTTGCCAGCTCAGTTTCCCCATCTGAAAAGGAGGAGACTCCTGCCAGGAAAGGAACCCTTCCCCAAAGGAGGAGCAGGGTGGGGCGGTGGGAGCACCTGGGATCTGGGAGGAGGAGTTGGAGGTCCCTCCAGCCTGGATGGGGAACCCCTTCCACACCACCACGGGGCCCAACAGTGACACCTTGCAGGTCCTGATGGAGAGAAAGTACATGGACAAACTGTGTGGACTATGTGGGAACTTCGATGGGAAGACAGACAACGAGTTTCTGAGCGAGGATGGTAGGCTGGTGCAGGGTGGGGCAGGGCAGCCAGGACCCCAGCCTCTCTGCAGCCAACCCCATGTGCTGACTTCTTTCTTGTACCCCCAGGAAAACTCCTGGAATCCCACAAGTATGCCACACTCCAGAAGTTGGATGACCCTAACGAGATCTGTGCCCATGAGGCCATCCCCAAACCCACCGTCCTGCAGACCAAATATGTATGTGAGGTGGCCCAGACCCCAGGGCTAGATTGGGACCCACCCACAGGGTCTGTTGGGGTCTCTGGGGCCAGTGCCAACCCCGCCCCCACTCCTGGCCTTCCAGTCCCTGGGTGTGATGCAAGATGTAGCCTCACCCGTTTGACCTAGAGTGGCTCTCTATTTAGGCCAAGATCTGCACCCAGTTACTGACCCTGGTGGCCCCTGAGTGTGATGTCCCTAAGGAGCCTCTGGTGCTAAGTTGCCAGGCAGACATGGCTGCCTGTGACCAGCCGGGCCAGCAGAACTGCAGCTGTGCCACACTGTCTGAGTATTCCCGCAGATGCAGCACAGCTGGCCAGCCTGTCCACAACTGGCGGAGCCCCAGACTCTGCCGTGAGTCCCAGGCGGTGTGGCAGGGAGGGCAGCTTTGAACAGAGGAGGGGTGAGACAAAGCTGCAGCAGGGACTGGGGAAGGTAGGCAGGATCTTCTTACCAGACCCTGTGCTTGCTGCCTGCAGCCTTGGGCCAATGTCCAGCCAACCAGGTGTACCAAGAGTGTGGTGAGGCCTGTGTCAGGACCTGCTCCAACCCGCAGCACAGCTGCTCCAGCTTCTGCACCTTTGGCTGTTTCTGCCCTGATGGTAAGGGCGTCCACCAGCACCCACTTTCCTTAGAACCACCCCAGCTCTGACCACGCTCAGCCCACACATTCTGTATCTGAGTCCCAGGACCACTCTGCTCACCCCAAAATTTCCTATCAACCCAGAACTCCATGGAGAGTGAGCAGTGCCCACTGGGTGGTAGGGGACTCTGAGGAGAAGTCGGCTTTGAGCTGGACCAAGGCACCTCCCTGGGGCTGGCCGTGGTGAGAGGAGGAGCAGCTAGCACAGAACGAGTCCCCGCAGTGAGGGGCTGCCCAAGGAACACCCATCCCACCTCAGCCTATCCCCCGCAGGCACACTGCTTGACGATGTCTCCAGAAACCATACTTGCGTGCCTGTCAGCCAGTGTCCCTGTATGCTTAATGGTGTGATCTATGGCCCTGGGGAGGTCACCAGGACAGCCTGCCAAACCTGGTGAGTGCAGAGAACACGGGGAGCTCTGCTGGCCTGGAACCTACACGAGGGGCGTTCACCCCAGGGGCCTCACCATCCACTGGGGGCCACCCCAATGCCTACCTGCAGCCAATGTACCATGGGCCACTGGACGTGCACAGAGCGGCCATGTCCTGGCCACTGCTCACTAGAAGGCGGTTCCTTTGTCACCACATTCGATGCCAGGCCCTACCGCTTCCACGGCACCTGCACCTACGTTCTCCTCCAGGTAAGATGAGCCCTAGGGCTGGGGGGAAAGGGAACAGCGCCTCCATGCCTGACCCACTGGCCTCCCCAGAGCCCGCAGCTCCCCAACGAGGGCACCCTCATGGCCGTATACGACAAGTCAGGTTACTCGCACTCCGAGACCTCCTTGATGTCCGTCATCTACCTGTCCAAGAAGGTAAGGCTGCCCACCCTGCTTCCACCAGATGCTGTGTCCGACTGCCCACCAGATCTGGCATCTGGCTCCTGCTGTTCGCCTACTCCCCCACACCTCCTCTGACTCTAGCCTCCTTCCCTTCAGGACAAAATCGTGATCTCAGAGGATGAAGTGATCACGAACAACGGGGACACCAAGTTGCTGCCATACAAGACTCGTAAGTCCCCCTGGGGCCAGCACTTGGAAACTCGTGCTGCCGTTGGGGCAAGGTAGCTGGGACAGCCCACTCAGTGCCACATCCTTGCAGATAACATCACCATCTTCAGGCAGACGTCCACCCACCTCCAGATGACCACCACCTTTGGGCTGGAACTTGTGATCCAGTTGCAGCCTGTCTTCCAGGTGTACATCACTGTTGGGCCCCAATTCAGAGGCCAGACCAGAGGTGAGCCACTGCCTTGCTGGTCATCCCAGAGTCCGCCTAGCTGCCTCCTCCCTTACCTGAGCTGAGTGTAGGAAGGCCCAGAAGAGGCTTGCACTGGCCCTCCACACCCAGGGAGCCTGCAGTCCCTGCCCCAGGGGTGCCCATGTGAAGTCTGTGATGACCAGGGGGGGCACAGCTGGAGAGAGGAGCGTTTTAGGGCATATGGGGGCACTGGAGGGGCAAGCCGGGTCTCGGCTGCCCTCATGTCCCTGCCCACTCAGGGCTCTGCGGCAATTTCAACGGGGACACAAAGGACGACTTCACAACCAGCATGGGCATTGACGAAGGCACTGCCTCGCTCTTCGTGGACTCCTGGCGTGCAGGGAACTGTCCAACTGCCCTGGAGCGTGAGACTGACCCCTGCTCCATGAGCCAGCTCAATAGTGAGTCCCCTGTGCCCCTGCCTTCAGTTGCCCAGGGCTTCGGGGTGATGAGGGAACAGAAGACCCACAACCGGGCCTGTTGTCTCCAGAGGTGTGTGCAGAGACTCACTGCTCCATGCTGCTGAAGAAGGGCAATGTGTTTGAGAAGTGTCACACTGTGGTAAACCCCCAACCCTTCTACAAGGTAGGTCCTGTGGGCTTTGGGGGAGGATCTGGAGGGTGGTAGTGGCAGCAGATGTGGTCCTTAAACACCTGGATCCCACCCTTCCCCACAGAGGTGCGTGTACCAGGCTTGCAATTACGAGGAGACCTTCCCCCATATCTGTTCTGCACTGGGGGCCTACGCCCATGCCTGCTCCTCCCGGGGCATCGTGCTCTGGGGCTGGAGGAGCAGCGTGGACAACTGCAGTGAGTGCAGGCTGTGGTGGGAGGGGACACCTGGGGTAGGGCTGTGGGACACAGGAATAATGGGAGTCTGGATCACAACAGGGCCCCTGGGGTCATCATGGAGCATTCTAGAACCTCAGTCTCCTCCAAGCTGTTCCTCTGCCCACTGGTCATCACAGCCCCAAATCCCAGACACTCCCTAGCTGCTTTCCCCGAAGGCCTGACCCCCAGTTTCCCACAGCTGTGCCTTGCACTGGCAACCGCACATTCAGCTACGACAGCCAGGCCTGTGACCGTACCTGCCTGTCTCTGTCTGACCGTGGGGCCGAGTGTTACGCCAGCGCCGTGCCTGTGGATGGCTGCAACTGTCCTGAAGGCACCTACCTGAACCACAAGGGGGAGTGTGTGCGCAAGACGCAGTGCCCCTGCCTGCTGGATGGCTACAAACTCGTTCAGGCTGACCAGTCGACCATGATCAACGGGGTCATATGGTGCGGAGGGCAAGGCTGGGCAAAGCAGAGTGGGGGAGGGGTCCTGTATTGCCTGTGAGCTCATGCACAAATTCTCTCTCTCTCTCTCTCTTTCTCAGTTACTGCATCAATGGCCGTCTGAACTGCCCTCGGCAGGCAGAGATGTTCTTGGGTAAGTGGGTCCCGGGAGGTGGCCAGCAAGAGCAGTGTAACAGAACCCTGCACTGCTCTACTGCTGTTCCCCAGTCCACCTAACTGGCCCTCTCCCTCCCTGCAGCATCCTGCCCAGAACCCAAGACCTTCCAGTCCTGCAGTCAGTCCTCGGAGGACAAGTTCGGGGCTGCATGCGCCCCCACCTGCCAGATGCTGGCCACGGGCATCGCCTGTGTAAGAGGCAGTGAGGAGCCCAGTGGGCCATGCTCTGCCCCCAGTGTCCCTCCACCTCCATCTACATCCCAGTAGCTGGTGCTGGGTGTGGGGTCAGGAGCTAATCTGTGGTTGGGTATCTGGAGGACAGGGTCCCTGCCTGTGGGATTCTGTGAGGACAGCTTGGGAATCGTAGTCACCTGTCCCTGTGTGTGTGATGGCCCATTCTGATAAACACAGGCCTGGAACCTTCCTCAAGGAAGGATGGCTTTGCTAAGATCAAAGCCCAGCTGCCCACAGAAGGACTCCAGAACTGAGTGGAGTGGACAAAGGGAAAGCCCTAGGAAAGACACTGAGAGTCTCAGGACCTGGGATGGGGGTGGCAGAAGACTAAGGGGCCACTGACGCTGACTCCCTACCAGGTACCCACCAAGTGTGAATCCGGCTGTGCCTGCCCCAAGGGGCTCTATGAGGACAGTAATGGGCAGTGTGTACCTGCAGAGGAGTGCCCGTGTGAATTTTCAGGGGTCTCCTACCCTGGGGGTGCAGAGCTCCATACCGACTGTAAAACCTGGTAGGTCATGCCCTACCCTGGACACCCAGACCCCCTGGGGCTATCTGGGCAAGCAGGGGCTCCCAACGGTGGAGTGTTCCAGAGGTAGGGTGCCTTAGGGTCACAGCCTAGGCCTCTAGCTCACTCCCCATGTGGAAAGGCTGACTCTAACTACCCCTCCCTTGCCTTCTCACCAGTACCTGCTCACACGGGAGCTGGACTTGCCAGCAGAGCGCACAGTGTCCATCCACCTGCGTCCTCTACGGAGAAGGCCACATCATCACTTTTGATGGACAGCGCTTTGTGTTCGACGGCAACTGCGAGTACACCCTGGCCACGGTAACCATCCAGCCCAGTGTCAAGGGCTACAGAGAGCCAGGGGTGGGGACCACAAGGGCTTCTCCTCAACACCCCTTCCCTGCAGGATGACTGTGGCACCAACAGCTCGCAGCCTACCTTCAAGGTCCTGACAGAGAATGTCATCTGCGGAAAGTCGGGGGTCACCTGCTCCCGAGCCATCAAGATCTTCACGGGCGTGAGCAGCTGGGCCCCACAGGGTGGGAGGGAGAAGGCTCCGTCTTGATGTGGGCCATCAGCCCCAGGTCTCCCCAGCTTCCCCTTTCACTGTGAAGACCTTCCACCAACCCTTCCTATCCATGTGACAGGGACAAGTGTCCAGAGACTGTTGATCCACCAGTAGTTGCACACTCAGGACTGGTTCGGGAAGATGGGAAGCTGCTCTCCAGCAAGCTGGGTCTACTTCTACGTGTCTAGAACCTTCTGCCCAGAGTTGGCTCTCGGAAGATGCCCCTACACGGCTCTTGTCATTGTTGCAGTTGTTGCTTTGAGACAGGGTCTCATGTAGCCCAGGCTGGCATCAAATTCGCCATGCAGTTTAGGCTGGCCTTGAACTCCTTATCCTCAAAAAGATGTGAACTCGTGTGTATGGTTATATCTCTGTGCTCAGGTTACAGGCATGTGACAGCATTCCTACCTACATGTTCTTGACAGACATGGTCAGTACTGCTTAAGGAACTTAGTCCAGGGACAGAGCCCAGCTACAGGACAGCCAGCTAACCTGGGTACTGAGGTGAGGGTAGGAGGAACAGCAGGCAGTTAGTGACAGCTCCACTCCCACAGGGCCTGTCCATCACAATGGCAGACAGAAACTACACAGTCAGTGGGGAGGAGCCTTTGGTGCACCTTCAGGTGAAGCCCAGTCCACTGAACCTCGTCCTGGACATGAGCATCCCCGGGAGGTTCAACCTGACACTTGTGTGGAACAAGCACATGAGCATCTCAATTAAGATCCAGCGTGACGCTCAGGTACCTGCCACGTGCTCACTGGGGCACACACCAAGGTTCTGGCTGGTCTCAGGGTGGGGGCCCAGTGTAAAGCCTGCCTGGCCTCAGCCTGTTGTTCCCACAGGATGCCCTCTGTGGCTTGTGTGGTAACTCCAACGGGAACATGAAAGATGACTTTGAGACACGCAGCAAGTACGTGGCATCCAGCGAGCTGGAGTTTGTGAACTCATGGAAGGAAAGCCCACTGTGTGGAGACGTGAGCTACGTGGTGGAGCCTTGCAGCCAGAACACCTTCCGCCTCTCCTGGGCCGAACGCAAGTGCAGCATTATTAACAGTCAGACCTTTGCTGCCTGCCACAGCAAGGTGGGCTCCATCCTCCAGTGTGGGGTCACTGAGCACAGCCCTCCTACTGTGGGGCTCCCAGGGTGGCCAGAGTTGTCAGGTATGGCAAGGGCAACACCTACCACCTGAAGGCAGGCCCCTCTGCACATAATGCCCACCTCTGCCTGCTACAGTCCCATAGCAGACAGGACAGTGGGGAAAGTGTTCTTGGGGGCAACATCACCCCAGACAGCAAATGCATGATCCAGAGATGAGTCATTCAGACATTCATGGCCCAGAGATGAGCTCCAGCTATGGCCAGGGGTGAGCTTTTATGACTCAGAGCTTCTAGGACAGGCCCTGATCCTTGGGGCTCAGTAAAACTGACAATAGGCTAACCCTATGCAGTGCAAAGGCCCTGTGGCAGGGGCCAGGTGGGTGTGTTCAGAGGCCCTGAATGTATAAGCAAAGAGTCATGGGGTCAAGGAGGCTGTAGGACAGAGTGAAGACCCTGAGAGAGGCAGGTGTGTAAGCCAGAGGGGCCCAGCCCTGGTTAGCCACACTCTGGTCCCAATGGGAGGTCCTCGGAGCCTGAGCATGAAACAGATCCCCTGGCAGGGTTGGCTGAGCAGCAAGCACCTGGTCTCCAGAAGGTGGCAGTCACTGTACAGCTCACACTACGTGATGCTCCCAGAGCACCAGGGCCTAAGCTTCCCTGACACTCAGGCCCCAAAGTGGCAAAGCCTACCTTGCTGACACAGTGCCCTCCACAGGTGTACCACCTGCCCTACTATGAGGCCTGTGTGCGTGATACCTGTGGGTGCGACACGGGCGGGGACTGTGAGTGTCTGTGCGATGCAGTGGCAGCCTATGCCAAAGCCTGCCTGGACAAAGGCGTGTGTGTGGACTGGAGGGCCCCAGACTTCTGCCGTGAGTATCCCATCCTATGCCCAAGCCTGCCCCACCCACAAGCCTTCTCCCAAGATATTACCAGGCTATACCGCTACATGGCAACCCTGGGTCACCAGCTGTGCCTTAGGCCCTCCCCCAGCCCCTCAAGAGCACAGCCCCCAACAGAACCCAAGTCCTCCAGGCCTGTACTTAGGCCTTGATACCAGCTGATGTACATCCTTCTTCCCAGCCATCTACTGCGGCTTCTACAACACCCACACGCTGGTGGGTGAGAACGAGTATCAGTACATGAAAGAAGCCAACTGTACATGGCATTATCAGCCCTGCCTCTGCCCCGGCAGCCTGGAGAATTTCCTGGATACCAACATTGAAGGTACCAAGCACACAGATGCGTGAGCCACCGCACCGGGTATTCATTCATTCATATGCCCATCCATTCATTCATTAACACACACATTCCTCAATACGCACACACGCATACACACACACATGCACACACACACTCATTCATACACTCAGCGGGTATATCCTGAGTGTCAGGCCCAGTTCTGGGTTGGGAACCTGGCTTCACACTAAACAGCCCTGCCCTCCAGGAGCTTCCCTCTGGCCTGGGAGAGAGCCTTAAAAACCAAAATGAGGAGCTGGGCATGGTGGTACACACCTTTGATCCCAGCACTCAGGAGGCAGAGAGAGGAGGCGCTCTGTGCCAGCCTAGACTACATAGCAAGTTCCAGGCCAGCTCAAAAAGACCAAAAAAAAAAAAAAAGAGGAATTAAAAATTGTCAGATATAGGCTGGAGAGATGGCTCAGTGGCTAAGAGCACTGGGCCGCTCCTGCAGAGGACCTAGGTTCAATTCCCAGCACCCACATGGTGGCTAACAATTGCCTATAACTCTATTTCCGGGGACCCAATGCCCTCTTCTGATCTCCACGGGTATCACACAACACAGGTGCATGTCAGGCAATACACTCATACACATGAAGTAAAAATAATATATAAAATATAAAAACTGTCAGATGGCACATCTGTCACAGTGAAAGAGAAGAGCAGTGCCACAGGGCTACCAGCCACAAGGATTCTCGCAGCACTTAGCAGAGTGGAAGACAAGACTAGGACGGGGTGGGGACGAAGACAGGGAAAAGGGCAGCTGGGACATGGGAGCCAAGAACCAGAGCACTGGCCACACAGGGAAGTCCCTGGGGCCCTGCAGGCAGCTTCAGAACTTGCCGTGAGGGTGAGAAGAAGAGGGTGATGACGGGCGGGGCGAGCACAGCAGTGGTTTCTGAGGGCCAAAGGGGTAGGTCAGGTGGGTGGTTGGGAGGGGAGTGCTGAGCCTGACTTTCTCTGCCCTAGGCTGCTATAACTGCTCCCAGAACGAATACTTTGACCACAGCCAGGGGACCTGCGTGCCCTGTGGTAAGTCCAGGCAGTGGGCTCAGCCACCAGGCAGCACAACCCCTGAGCAGCCTGGCTTGAGTGCCCTTGTGTGGGTAGAACGCAGATCAAGGGGTCACGCCCCAGAAAACCCCCTCCCAGACCCTTCTCCTCGGGGCACCGACACACAGGCTCCAGCAGCATCACACTTCACAAGAAGCATAAAACACAGCACTGAGCCCTGGGCCTCCCCTCTCCTCCCCAGCCCAGCCACTGTTCAGCCTCAACCTCAGGACAGAGCCCCCCAGGCCAAACAGGGGACCTGGGTACACAGTGGGAATTTTCCTATGAACGTAACTACAGATACTGCCCTGCCGTAGCTCCCTAGCTGGTCCCTTCCAGTCTCTGCCAGGCTGATGAGGGAGGGAGAAAGGAGAGGAGGCAGGGGAGGGATGCAACAATGTATCTCCCCTTCTGGGGGAGACTTGGCCCTGGGTTACTCACAGAGGTCACAAAGGGAAGAGGATGTGTTGGCAGCAGCCCCTGATGGCTCCTTTCTCTTGCAGCACCACCCACTACCACACTGGCGCCAACCACCACAGGTGATTGCCCACGAAACTTGGCACCACAGGATGCAGGTTTCCTAACCTGCTGTGTCTCACCCTAGCTCCAGTGGACAGACCCCCCCCCACCTCCCCACCAGCCAGCCTCAGTACCTATTGGGTTCTGGGAAGGTGGGGAATGTACCCTGCAGTTCCAGGTGAGGGAAGAACGGTATGCAAAGCTTAGCTCCTGGCCAGCAATTGGCCCTGACCACTTGACCAGCTTGCTCTACTACCGAGCAGGAGACAGGACCGCAACAGAAAAGTCCACCAGGAGTCCACTCTGCCCTCACAAGATAATGAGGCACCCTGACCCTTCCACTCAGCCCCTTAGCAGGCAAAGCAGTGTCTTCCCAAGGAGGTACCAGGGCCAGACCCTGCCCGTCCATGAGAGCCCATCTGCCCCACATAGGCACACAGCCTACCATGGCAACCTCCACCACCACCGGATTGCACAGCTTCAGCTCTCCAGCCACCTCTGTGGGCCCCTTCTCCTCGACCAGCTTTCCAGCCCCATCAATTTCAACCCCATCCTCCACTGAGGAAGTACCAGATTGGACTACCCCCAAGAAATCCACAGTCTCCTCAGGAGGTAGGACAGAGGGAGGCGGGAGACCCCCTAAGGCATGGAGTCGGGCATCTGTGGTCTTCTGGCTGAGATGCCTGGGGGCGGGGTCTCAGAACAGAACTGCCAGTGCTTCAAAGGGAAGGCTGAGATGTCTCTGAACACCTGGCTTCCAACTCAAGCTGGCATCCCATGTGGCCGTTCTAGGCTGCATGAAGCTTCCACTAGAATTTGTGTGAGACCTAGTGGGCCTTATTGCACAGCTTCAGCTCTCCAGCCACCTCTGTGGGCCCCTTCTCCTCGACCAGCTTTCCAGCCCCATCAATTTCAACCCCATCCTCCACTGAGGAAGTACCAGATTGGACTACCCCCAAGAAATCCACAGTCTCCTCAGGAGGTAGGACAGAGGGAGGCGGGAGACCCCCTAAGGCATGGAGTGGGGCATCTGTGGTCTTCTGGCTGAGATGCCTGAGGGCGGGGTCTCAGAACAGAACTGCCAGTGCTTCAAAGGGAAGGTTGAGATGTCTCTGAACACCTGGCTTCCAACTCAAGCTGGCATCCCATGTGGCCGTTCTAGGCTGCATGAAGCTTCCACTAGAATTTGTGTGAGACCTAGTGGGCCTTCACCCTGCAGCCAGCCCCAACCCACACATAGTAGCACCCCTAGATTT